GGGGGGGGGCATACTGGAAATTTTATTTTGCCCGGCGATTGGTGTTAGCTCTATTGGAATCTAGTCAAAATCTTTGATTATCATCGGGCACATGTTCGTAACAGTACCAACAGTCCACGACTATTCTAGCGTGCTAGGAGGAAGTTTTATGTAGATTCTGTTTTTTAATTAATAAGATTACTTATTCGTTATTTAATTATTCGTTCAGGATATTAACAGTGGTTGGGCTTCGTAGTGTACGTGGGGTTTAAGACTTTATCGCAGCTGTGAATAATTGCTTCAGTGGTATCTGAAATTATTCACTGAGCTGAATATCTTCCTTTGTCTGTTGAAGGTGTTCACGACCACAGAATCGCCTAAAGCGATTGAGCTTCGTTTTCCTTCAAGTGTTTTACTACGAATCCGCATGAAAACATTAAGCACCAGTACTCGTGGCATCTGACCTTTAGTATTTGTGGTCTGTGTCCCAGTTCCAATTCGGTAATGTACATTGGACTGTTAGTCAGTCAGTTTCGATGGCCGTTTGTTCTTTCAGATCGCGGAGGCAGACGCGTCAAACACTGTCTTCAACGTTCCCAATCCTGTGCCAGAGTTTGAACTTTGGCAGAAGCTAACCCATGTTTTGAACAGAGTTCTTCGATACACTTGTTCCATGGTATTCTTGACCGTCTGCGGGGTCTTCGACCGGTTGATTGAGAAAGTAATGGTTGTTTCGCCTTCCTTTTTGGAAGCGTTCACAAGATGTTCCCAAACCATTCCAGCTGTGACTTTTCAGTTTGGAGAAGCAGTGGCTGTACAGCAGAGATGTCTCGGATTTTTTGTACTCCGAACCATATCGAAAAGACTCGGGATCGAAGTCTTTCATTTATAACCCATGATTCATGACCATAGATGAGTTAATGTACGAAGATCGACTTGAACACAAGCCGCTTAGTCTTCAGACTCAGCTCCGTTTTAGTAACACGGTTAGGATTGGTTCACGCAGAGCGCCATTGACTATTCCAATCCGCCGGCTCATCCCTTCCTCCCGTTTTCCATTATCAGTAAACACAGTTCTGCAGTACTTGAACTTCTCCACATGCTCCACCGCTTCACCGTTAGCTGCATAGCGCAACGGGCCGATGAACGAAAACCACTAAGCTTTTTTTTTACACACGTTCACAAGTGCCGGCCACGTCGCGCTTGACTGCGAGCCTTTCCAGGAAGCGCTAGAGATCAGTTTCAAAAGTTGCCAGCAGAACAGTATGGTTTGCAAACAGTGAATTTCTCGTCTCCACGTCCCGTGTGTGTTCGCAGACTCGTTCCCTGACTGCGCCTGACCATCCTGTCTGTTTACATCATAAGGGGAGAAGTTACAGAACGCAGCCTTGGCAGAGACCAGTGCCATTGTTGAATGGTCACGATTTGACGCAATTTTCTCTTGCGGCACCTCCCATTAATATATGGTGCCTGGATTGCTCATAGAACCTGCCTAAAAACCCGATGTGTTTGCAGGCACGTCCACAGCTTGTTGCGCAGCATCGGTTCATAAGCATTCTTCAGGTTACCAAACCACGTGTAAGCCGAATGCGTGATTCTCACGATTTCGCAACGATCTGGCGTAAAGCGAAAATCTGGTCGGAGGTGCCTTCGACTGACCTGATGTCACGTTACTGTTCTTGGTTCTTTTGTCAACTGCTCCGCGGCGTTTTTTTAACACCTTAGCGTAGACTTTTCCCGGCAGATGCAATATGTAAATGTTCTTAACTGGAGTGGTAAAGGATGTTTAGAAACTACCGGGCAGAAGAACCTCTACAGTTACTGCGGTTATTCGATCTGTTAAGGTTTTTCTGCTTGGTTGTCTTTCTAAACGTCTAGCCAACGCTTCGGTTTTGTTTGCTGCATTTATAGCGTACCATTTTATTCTTCCTTTGTTGTTCTTCATTGAGAGTTAGTGCCTTCCATAGTCGCGCTTCTTTTCATAAAGTGTGTCGAACGCTGACCTTGAATAATGCATTGTAACAAAGCTGAATGGTCATATTCAAAACCAAGTGCAAACAGAAACTTTTGACATGCCTGTTCTGTGTTTTCCCTGTCAACAAACAAAAAAATTTAAGATAAATTGGTTATATGCGTTTAAATTATAATTTTTCCGCCTTAGAGATAATGGAGGTTCTAGTTTTTACAGGCAGGTTATTGTTTTACGTAACTTTAAGTTCTTATAGAACGCTAGATCAGTTTCAATCATCACAACTGGAATTTTGTCGTTTTTAGTTGCACGTTTACTCCTTTCTCTTCGCAGCTAGTAATGCTACCAAATGCTGTCTTGCGCTGTATTTTACGTTTCGATATTTCATAGCTTAAGCAGAGTTAAGAACTGACCCCATTTTACAACGTGTACATTGAATATCATTAAAGGGTGTATGGTGAGATCAAACCCATCTCAACTAAGATAGTTCGACAAGGTGAAGCGCAGAAATATTTTATCCTTCTATTCTTATGCTAATGAGATATGCTTTATTTTAGGCAGAGTAATGTGTTGGAAGGGCTTTCCGGTGGTTTGGAGTCGCAGTCTAAAACCAAGAGCCACAAAGAAGACAATGATGCTCGCTCAGTCTCGATCTCGTTCGATGACAGCAACTGACGAAAGGTCTCTTGTTCCGGAAATATCAAGTACCACCAAAAGTTGTTTTCAAAGTACAATAACATAACTTTTCAGATTGTTCCAAGAGGGTGAAACGGGAGTGCACGGTTTGGGAAAACGGTGCTCTGAACGAATGTGATTACTCTGAACCACAGTCTTCACCTGTCGCAGCATCTTCCAGCGA